GGCACAGGTGATGCAGGAGGCGACAGCGAGCACACCTCGGAGAAGCATCCCCAGGTGATAAATCAAGTGCCAACAAGAAGCAGAACTTGTGCGAGTTCACAATGAAAAGAATGCGTCCCCCCCTTACACACACACACAGCCCACCTGCTGAGTTGCCAAACGGGAGTGTTAAAGATTTTACCTGCTTTGTTTGTAGGTCTCCAGCTTGTGACCTCTCGGCTGAACCATCTTCCCGGCTGCAGCTGTGAGCCAAARACACAAGAGCACAACGACTGCATCCGCCTGCATGGTTCACACTCCCCGGAGGACGGACCTCTCCCGTCAATCAGAATCTACTTCCCGCCAGGGTTTTTGAAGCACCGTGCCCTCCCGAGACATTCCCCCTCTTTTTTTTTTRCRTTTTWTTTTRCCTCRTCCTCCAGCGCCGGAGCCGATAAGAGGGAGAAAAACAGAAACAGCAGCAGCTCCACCCGGCTACTCTACGGCCCGGGAGAAAAACATCCCACTGTGCTTAATCTCCACAGTGGGAAAAGCAATTTTGACTAAACCCATAAATCCTTGAGCGTCAGATGGTACAGATTTGATCCCTCCAGCGGCGGATGTGCCTGCCTCCCTGTGCTCTGCTGCTCTCAGATACCCTGCACTCCACTCCACTTTGCACCGCCCCGAAACACCAAATCTCACAACGATGCAGCATGCTCATTTGTAAGGTCACCCAGTCTGGAGACACACATGTAGAGAGGCTGAGGAGGAAGGAGCTCGCTGGGATCTGAAAGGTTGCTCTTAACAATCTGAAAGAGAGAGAGAGAGAGAGAGAGAGAGAGAGACGCATTTCTGTTAGTTGAATTAATGCCAGAAGAGCTTTTGTTGTTGCTGCCTGCTGTAGTGTTTTTCACAGTTTTTTTTCCCCTCAGGGGACAAATGGGGGGAATATTTTGGACTGCTTCATTAAAAATCACACAAGTAAATAAATCTGTGACTCCTACAGCAATAGGGCCAATACAACATTTAAATAACAACCCTTTAACATCATTGCACAAAATGTAGAAAACTGACTTTTAAATCGCAGCATATCTTTTTAATAATAAAAATGCACATCTTAAAGAAAAAACGCAACACAACAAGCCGTAACACTAATCGTCAGACGAAAACGTGCCGTCCCTCTGAACTGGCCAGTCAACATCTCATCGCTGACGTTTACATCCGCCTGGCCATGTGTCCCTTTTTTTTTTGTAACAGCTGGATTATAAGATCATGAATTTGGGTTAGCTGCATCTACGTCAGTCCAAATATTGGTCCAAGTCATTTTAAGCATTGTATGTTTTGTTGGGATTTGTGGATGCTTGTTTACAATTAAACCAGTAAGCAGTGCGAATACATGGGCGCACATATATATATAACACAGATTACCAGTTAGATAAATACTAKGAGGAATGTAGTTTAGTAGTTTACTTGTGTTTTTTACTGATTTTCCTCAGAATCAATGTGATGATAGTAGTTTTCTGTGCCGTGAAAATAAATTACAAAACATTTGAGCCATTTTTATAAACATTTATAGGTTAAAAAAAAAGTTTACCATTCACTGTAGGGTWTTTACTTGTTTAGAATAATCACTCACCTGTGTACACCTCTTTTGGGTTTTTTTTTTACTATTACTATTAAATTTTCAGAAAGGAAAACACAAATTTCATAAAGAAAAACAGAATATCATTGGAAAGGCATCATAAACTCTTATGGGTACTTGTGTACAAACAAAACCCTTTCTTACTCTMGTGACTTTTGCTACTATTAAAAAATAATGAAGCTTGGTAAAACAATGCATTTTTTCTAAAAAAAAAAAGTATATATTTAAATGTGAACTTCTTTTTAGATGTTTTTTGTAACAGCTTTAAAACTGTAGACAGTCACAATTAAAGGAGAAGATAAATGAAGAAGAAATGCTTTGTGATCATATATTAGTAGTAGCGCTATTTTTCAATCAAAATTAGCTGGAAAATGTTAACATATTGGATAATGACAAAACTGTAATACACCTAAAATCAAGTAATAAGAAAAAAAAGCTTATTATTACACTGTTTTTACTGGAAATAAGACTTGAAAATAATTCTRGTGTTGGACAGATCAGATCTATTTATATTAGAGTGGTCTTTTAGTAAAGTTACTTATTTATAAATAAGCAATTACACAACTGCATCTGTAATACATTAAATGCTGTAGTAGTGAGTGCCTTCATGTATTGACTAAACATCCATTAGMTTATGTAACACAATCTGACCCCTGGTCTTCTATCAACTGACCCAGACCCTTTTAAATATTTCTGTATTGTTTGGTGACAAAAAAACTTTCTGATCACCCAAAAATAAATATTTATTATATTCCCCGACATGCTACAGATGCTAAATGTTCTTCTTGATTGTTAGGTTTGGGTCAGAAATATTCATATATTTTTTTCTGTAGTCAAAGTGTTTCTCACTTTTTGTCCACTAGAGGTCGCTGTAGTCAAAACAACACACGGAGGAATGAAACAACAAGAGCACTGTATTTACCTGTCCTTCCTCCTCTGTGTTGTTGCGTTCATAAGACACTAACTTGACTTTATGTCTAGACTTGAGCTAAATGTGTCGAATTTGAGAGTACAAAAAACTAGCTGAATCTACCTGTAACATGACGTTTCGTGTTAGCCAATTGACAATCGCCATTTTTTTTCGAGGACTTTTTTCCCTAAGGCTTGTCTGTCAGATTAAGGAGTTGTTTTTTTAGGAAAGACATATCTTTCTTTGCTTTCGTGCTGTATATAGTTCAAAATCATTATTAAAATACATGATGTACTATACAATGTCATATAAGAAAACTATAAGAGCAAAGTTTTATGTTGCAAGGCAGGACTTTTTGCCTGAAAGACAAAAATCCGGGTATCAAACGTAAAGCTGTGCGTCACTCTGACGTTTTCCTGGCGGGGAAATGTAAACTTTTACAGAGCTCGAGGATCAAACAATGCCATGGTTATCACATTTCCTAATATATACCCGTGTTTTGAGACATTGCGGACAATCGTAAAGAATAAACGCTCTCTAAACATTGGCGGACAGCAGAAATAACAGAGAAAATGACTGGATAAAGGTTGTGTTCGTGATAAGCGGTAACTAGGCGGCCGGCTACGTTATTTTTGCTGCGTGTATAGTTAGCCAAATTAAACCAAGATGAATTATTCAAAGGAAATTAAACGTAAGTATTTATTATATTTACATCTGTTTCAAATGATCAAAAAGTGAGGTTTATTTCTCGTTATATTTGTGTACTTTGCAGAGTTACAAAAGGCCAAAAACAAGGCCCAGTTTAACAACAATGTAAAAGAAGAAGCTAACATCTGCAATCAGCTCGGAGAGCTGCTGTCCAGGACTGGTGTGTGTCCTTACACAGCTTTTACATTTGTTTTCCTCTTTATTATTCATTCTGTGCGTTTTTATTCGTGTGTTTGACCCACGCTTAGCTTCTCTTTCACTTTCCGTTCTAACTAATTGGCATATTGCTTGTTCAATTTACCTTTTTAGTTTCAGTTTAGCTAATTTTAGTTTCTGTTCTGCTAGTTTTAGAAAGTTAGTAAACCAGGATTAACTATAGCTTCTTATTAAATTTCAGATGCATCATTCAGCACTCAGCATTTTATTTCTACCCAGTGTCAATAATGTGTTTTTTTTTTACTTTTTATTTGTTTATTTTATTATTATTATTATTATTATTATTATTATTGTTGTTGTTGTTTTGCTGTATGTGACAGTTGGTCTCTTTATTTATTGTTTGCCATACTATTTCCCTGCTTGCCACTATACTGTTTTCACAATCTGGGCACCCTTTGCGTCTTTTGATTTCTGCTTTATTTCTTTCACTTTAGCTATTTGATATTTTCCACCTTTCATTTTGATGWTTGTAAAGATAATCTGGCCTGTGTATGTCAGGTGATTATAAGGCAGCCATCAAGGAACACCAACAGGAGCTGTCTCTGTCCGAGGCCCTGGGTGATGTGATCGGACGGGCTGTGGCTCACCGTAAGATAGGAGAGTGCTATGCAGAGATGGGAAACATCGAGTCTGCTTTGAGAGTAGGTCAGCTTTAAATCCAGACCGGCCGACAAGTTCGTAACTCCACCAAAGTGTTTAACGTGTGCGTGTTTTCCTTCAGCATCAGCACTGTCACCTGGACTTGGCTCGTTCCGTTAAAGACGACGCCGAAGAACAAAGAGCTCTGGCCACCATTGGTCGAACGTACCTCTTCCGTTACGAGTCCGACCAGTCGAAGAGCAGTTTGAAGAAAGCACAGGATGCTTTCAAGAGYAGCTTGGCCATTGTGGATGAGCGTCTAGGCGGTGTGTGTTCTACGTTTGTCTTAGATGACTCAAATAAGCTTTTTTTGTATCACGTTTAGTTAAATTTTTCATTAAACTTTTAGGGACGGTGTCTGAGAAAGAGATCAAGGAGATGAAGGCTCGACTCTTCCTCAATCTTGGGCTAGTCTACGATCACCTCGGGGAACCCAAGCTCTGCATCGAGTTTTTCAGACGTTGTGTTTATATTGCTGAGTGAGAAACGACAAACTTTTCCTGTTCATTGTTTCTAATTATCCATGTTCAACAAGAAACCACAGTCTCTGCATTTTAATTAAAATGATCTGTGTTAATGTCGTTGTTTTTACTCCRGGAACAGGAAGTGCCAGCTGCTAGAGGATCTCTACCGTGCAAACTTTAACTTCGGCAACATCTACTTCCGCAACGGAGAACCGTCAAACGCTGTCCGCTGCCTGGAGCAGGCCAAAGAGTGCGCCAGGAAAATGAAAGACAAATTCGCTGAGAGTGAATGCTTCCACTGCATCGGCAAGGTATGAGCTGCCCCCGCGCTGCCCGATGTGACCGTTTGAAAGGTTGTAATGTGTTTGGAATGATGCTGATCAACAGGTGCAGCTGTCTCTGGGGGACTTTGTAGCAGCTAGACGGTCTCTAAAAAAGGCTCTCCTGTTAGGATCCCAGCAGCCAGCAGACAGAATGGCAGTGAAGAAAGTGTTCAAATATGGTAAGTGGGCAGGTTTTGTTGCTTTGTGTTGTTTTAAAAAAATTTCCCTCAGGTTCTGTAAAATATATGTACGGATGTGTTTACAATTTCTCAGCTGACCAGGGCTGTAAATTGGAGGAAGAGTTGGGGGAAGATCGTTGTAAAAGTCTCAACTCCCACCAAGCTGTGGAGCTCTTAGAGCACCTGGGGGATCTCTACTGTAAAGTTGGCTGCTACAGCAAAGCCTTGGATGCTTATCAGGCTCAGGTGAGGATGCGGAACAAAATTCTGCTGTTTTAACTTCAGCTGCAAACCGTCGCTGCATTCYATRTTCTTTCGTGGATTAGCTGAAGGGRGCTGAAGCGTTGGGGAAGCCTGCGCGCGAGCTGGCCGTCATCCACGTGTCCCTGGCTGCGACGTACACAGACCTGAGGCAGCACGGCGAGGCTGTGGAGCACTACAGGAAGGAGCTGGCTTTACGACAGGGCAGCTCTGCTGAGGTGATCAGAATCATCCACATGTCAAATAAAACTGCTGACTAGAATTAAAGTAGCTGGAATCATTTCATGCATCCCCATGAATATCTACTCTCATTTAATCACATAGCTTGTATTAACAAATCTGCAATAATTAAAACTAAAAGAAATTGGATTTTTTTTTGTAAAAAAAAATAAAATAAAAACATGAATGCTGAGSTTAAAGGGGCAATGTCATGTAAAATCAACTTTTTTGGGTTTTATACCATGTTATAATGTTACACTCTCATAAAAAACATGCCCAAAGCCTTGCTTTGACTCATGCATGTTTGAGAAATCCTGCAGAGTTTTTAGGAAGCCATGCTGAGGAGCAAAAGGACAGGTGAGGACTAGAAATGCCTTTTATGACCAGAAATGCCTCTGGGGCATGTCTTTAAAGTGTATCTTACCCCCCCTGTGAAAAGATAACTCCGCCCCAAGGAGAAATTTGAAAAATGCATCAAAGTGGGTAGGGGAGGGCGGGGTTAGAGAGCGGAGGTGTGGCCAGGACGAGAGAACGTGACAGCCTCGGCTGAGCTGTCCGCCTCACACCACACCAGCCTCGAACAGAGGAGTGGAGTGCTCCGCGACAGCCTGACATAAAAAAATAAAAGCACACAGCTGCAGCTGCTCACAAGATCACTAGTTTAAATCAGGAATKAAAGTGTTGGGTCTTGTTTGACTGAAGTTTGGTCCGTTAGGGCTGCAGCTGCCCCGCTGTGTTTCTGCCTTTTTTTCCCTCCTCCCCTCCCACTGTGCAGGAAGTACTGCTGGTGTGTGTGTGTGTGTGTGTGTGTGTGTGTGTGTGTGTGTGTGTGTGTGTGTGTGTGTGTGTGTGTGTGTGGAGAGAGAGGGAG